AGGCGTCCAGGGGTGACTGTGAGGCGTCCAGGGGTGACTGGAGGCGTCCAGGGGTGACTGGAGGCGTCCAGGCGTCCAGGGTGACTGGAGGCGTCCAGGGGTGACTGGAGGCGTCCAGGGGTGACTGGAGGCGTCCAGGGTGACTGTAGGCGTCCAGGGGTGACTGGAGGCGTCCCAGGGGTGACTGGAGGCATCCAGGGGTGACTGGAGGTGTCCAGGGGTGACTGGAGGCGTCCAGGGGTGACTGGAGGCGTCCAGGGGTGACTGGAGGCGTCCAGGGGGACTGGACTGGAGGCGTCCAGGGGTGACTGGAGGCGTCCAGGGGTGACTGGAGACGTCTAGGGGTAACTGGAGGCGTCCAGGGTACTGGAGCGTCCAGGGGTGACTGGAGACGTCTAGGGGTGACTGGAGGCGTCCAGGGGTGACTGGAGGCGTCCAGGGGTGACTGGAGGCGTCCAGGGGTGACTGGAGATGTCTAGGGGTGACTGGAGGCGTCTAGGGGTGACTGGAGGCGTCCAGGGGTGACTGGAGGCGTCCAGGGGTGACTGGAGGCGTCCAGGGGTGACTGGAGGCGTCCAGGGGTGACTGGAGGCGTCCAGGGGTGACTGGAGACGTCTAGGGGTGACTGGAGGCGTCCAGGGGTGACTGGAGGCGTCCAGGGGTGACTGGAGGCGTCCAGGGGTGACTGGAGGCGTCGAAGGAAAATAGTTCGACAGAAGTCATAATCTTCATAATTTCCTAAATTTTAATTAGTTCCATTTACAATTCTATTTTAATATTTAACTGCTTTTAAATATCCATTTTTTTGTATTTTTTTTACGTGATTTAATTTATTCTGTTTATTAATAGATTTATTTCATGAATTATTAGATTTATTAAGCTTGTGTTACTTGCATGTTAACTGATTAAAAGTTCAACTATTGTATTTTCTATTTTATGTGTACCATTTGCACCAGTTTTGTTGTCACTAATACTATCATTATAGAAGCGTACTTTTTGTGAATACAACAGGTGTATATGTATGAAAATACATGGTAAGTGTGGAGATAAGGTGCAGGGGGGGGGGTCAATATTGCTTTCTTTGCAGAATGACTTGGGAATGCTCCGGGAATGACCTGGGAATTTTCTGGGAATGTTTTGGGAATGACCTGGGAATGTTCTGGGAATGACCTGGGAATGTTCTGGGAATGACTTGGGAATGTTCTGGGAATGACCTGGGAATGTTCTGGGAATGACCTGGGAATGTTCTGGGAATGACCTGGGAAATTTCTGGGAATGACCTGGGAATGACCTGGGAATGTTCCGGGAATGTTCCGGGAATGACCTGGGAATGTTCCGGGAATGACCTGGGAATGTTCTGGGAATGACCTGGGAATGTTCTGGGAATGACCTGGGAATGTTCTGGGAATGACCTGGGAATGACCTGGGAATGACCTGGGAATGTTCTGGGAATGACCTGGGAATGACCTGGGAATGTTCCGGGAATGTTCCGGGAATGTTCTGGGAATGACCTGGGAATGACCTGGGAATGTTCTGGGAATGACCTGGGAATGACCTGGGAATGTTTTGGGAATGACCTGGGAATGACCTGGGAATGTTCTGGGAATGACCTGGGAATGTTCTGGGAATGACTTGGGAATGTTCTGGGAATGACCTGGGAATGTTCTGGGAATGACTTGGGAATGTTCTGGGAATGACTTGGGAATGTTCTGGGAATGACCTGGGAATGTTCTGGGAATGACTTGGAATGTTCTGGGAATGACCTGGGAATGTTCTGGGAATGACTTGGGAATGTTCTGGGAATGACCTGGGAATGTTCTGGGAATGACCTGGGAATGTTCTGGGAATGACCTGGGAATGTTCTGGGAATGACCTGGGAATGACCTGGGAATGACCTGGGAATGTTCTGGGAATGACCTAGGAATGACCTGGGAATGTTCCGGGAATGTTCCGGGAATGTTCTGGGAATGACCTGGGAATGACCTGGGAATGTTCTGGGAATGACCTGGGAATGACCTGGGAATGTTTTGGGAATGACCTGGGAATGACCTGGGAATGTTCTGGGAATGACCTGGGAATGTTCTGGGAATGACTTGGGAATGTTCTGGGAATGACCTGGGAATGTTCTGGGAATGACTTGGGAATGTTCTGGGAATGACTTGGGAATGTTCTGGGAATGACTTGGGAATGTTTTGGGAATGACCTGAGAATGACCAGAGAATGACCAGAGAATGACCTGAGAATGACCAGAGAATGACCAGAGAATGACCCTGAGAATGACCTGAGAATGACCAGAGAATGACCAGAGAATGACCAGAGAATGACCAGAGAATGACCTGAGAATGACCAGAGAATGACCAGAGAATGACCAGAGAATGACCTGAGAATGACCTGAGAATGACCAGAGAATGACCAGAGAATGACCAGAGAATGACCTGAGAATGACCAGAGAATGACCAGAGAATGACCAGAGAATGACCAGAGAATGACCTGAGAATGA